ACGGCCGGGGACAACTGTGACCAGTGTGCACGTGGATACTATGGCAACGCTTTGGGTGGTACACCATATGACTGTAAACGTTGTCCTTGCCCCAATGATGGTGCTTGCATGCAAATCAACGGCGACACCGTCATTTGCACCGAATGCCCTGTTGGCTACTACGGCGCGCGCTGTGAAATGTGCTCGGACGGCTTCTTTGGTGATCCAACGGGTATCTATGGCGCGGTGCAAACATGTAAAGCGTGCGACTGCAACGGCAATGTGGATCCCAATGCGGTAGGCAATTGTAATCGTACCACTGGTGAATGTCTCAAGTGCATACACAACACAGCCGGAAAACACTGCGACGAGTGCTTAGCAGGACACTTCGGCGATCCACTGGCTCTACCACACGGCCAATGTGACCGCTGTAGCTGCTATCCACCAGGCACCGAACAAAATCAGGATGGTATTACACAATGCGATCAAGTAACCGGTCAGTGCCATTGCAAACCAAATGTGATTGGACGTGAGTGCGGTGAGTGCCAGCCAGGATACTTCAATATTATGTCGGGAAATGGGTGTGAAAACTGCATGTGTGATCCTGTTGGTAGTTACAACTCCACCTGCGACAAGTTCACAGGACAATGCTTCTGCAAGCCGGGTGTTTTGGGGCAACAGTGCGATCAGTGTGAAGTATACCATTACGGCTTCTCCCAGGAAGGTTGTAAGCCTTGCGAGTGTGACGAAAGCGGCTCTAAAGGATTCCAATGCGATCAGTATGGGCAGTGTCCATGCAATGACAATGTAGAGGGTCGCCGATGTGATCGTTGTAAAGAAAACAAATATGATCGCCATCTGGGTTGTATAGATTGCCCGGATTGCTATAACCTCGTACAAGATGCGGCCAATGAACACCGTGCAAAGTTGCATAACCTTAGCGCGACATTGGATGAAATTGCACGTACACCCGTTACTAATGATGAGGAGTTCGAGGCCAAATTGAAGACCGTGCAAGAAAAAGTAGACATCCTTTTAACCGACGCTAAGTATGGCGCAGGCGAAAGTGGCCAGACGTATGCTGAAGTATTGGATGATCTGCATAAACGCCTCAACAATATCCGCACACACCTGGTCACCGCCGACGAGCTACAAGATAAGGCGAACGATGAAATCAAAAAGGCCAGACAAAACTATTCCAATGCGCATGACATTGTTGAGGCTACGAAGAATGAACTGCAGAACGCATTGAACTTACTAAATGATGACGGTGCACAGGCGCTGTCTAAAGCCAAAAACAAATCTGTAGAGTTCGGTGTGCAGTCAGATCAAATTTCGGAGATATCACGCGAAGCACGGGCTTTAGCCGATCGCTTAGAATCGGAAGCGCAAGTCGATTTGGAGAATGCCAAGGATGCCAACGAAGCAGTGGAGAAAGCCTATGAGTTGGCGAAAAGTGCAATCAACCTTCAGCAGAAAGTAAGGTGAGTATAAATGAGGTAAAGGTTTTCCCTATGGAGAAGAGCTTTCATAATGCCACAAATAAATTCATACTTTTAGCGATGAACTGCGTTCAGAGGTACGTCTGGAGTTAAATACAGTCAAGCAATCGCTGACTAATGTAGCTCAAACCACCAAAGAAGCGTTGCGTAAAGCGAACGAGGTTTACGACGCTGCTTTAACATTGCTTACGGATGTCAATGGGCTAACTGCACCAGAAATTAATATTAAGAAGCTTAAGAAGGATGCATTGGCAGCAAATGAAGACGTAAGCTAGTTTAATAAAGATATTTAGCCTCTTAAGAGTCTTTCCTAAATACTTATATACATATGTATATGGGTTTGCAAATATTTTAGGCCGATCGCCTTTTGAAACGAGTCAACGATATATCCAACAGCAACGGTAACATATTTGCCGATTTCGATGAGGAATACGAACTAGCCGATTTGCTAATTCTCAGGTGAGTATCGGTGCCATGAAAGTGGTTCATTTAATATTTTTCGTCCATTTATAGAGCAAACGAACAAAAACAAGACGATATCAGGCTATTAAAAACCGCCCAGGACGCACTTGACAAAGCTAGAAAGGCTGTTGAGCAGGGCGATAGCACGCTGAAAGAAGCCAACAACACATATCACACTCTGGCAGGTAAGAACAGCTCGAAATAAAATTTTATTAGAGCACAGCACCTACTTAGAGCGCGGACACGATGAAAACGACGAGCTACGGACCACAGCTGTTAAATTATTTTTCCACATGTTCTTATGTATATAATTATTTTGGCGATGACAGGGCTACGCGATAACTGTGGTTGTGGCCAGAGGAGGGGAGGGGGGTTGATACACAATGGCTATAGGCGTCGCACTATAGGCAAAACAGGAGTTTTTTTCCAAAATCTTAGATCTTCGCTTAGAAAAGAGATAATGGGATTAATCGTGGAAGATTGGAAAAAGAAAAGCTACATTTAAACTCTAATAACTCGTAAACTATCAGCTTTCACAAAAAAAATTTATATAACAAAAATGGTTATACTGGTCGATATCTTTACGAAAGCGCAGCATTTAACCCTTTAATGCAGAGTCTGTAATATATAAACGCTTTTTAACCCTTTCAAGGCAGAGGCAAAATGGTTCTCAATATGTTTTCAACGTACTTTTTATTTATTTTTATTTTTAATATTTTTATTATTTTATTTTATTTTTTTATTCCTTTTTTTTTATTATTATTTTACTATGGAAAAATTTTTCTACGGTTAATATCTACGTCAACGTGAGAAAAAGCAGGTTCAAAGGCATATTGAGAACCTTTTTCCTCTGCCTTGAAAGGGTTAAAAAGCGTTTCATATATGACAGACTCTGCATTAAAGGGTTAAATACTGCATTCCATTATCTCTTTTCTAAGCGAAGATCTACGATTTTGAAAAAAAAACTCGTGTTTTGCCTATAGTGCGTCGCCTGTGGGCATTCTTTCATATATGTATGTATGTGCCATTTCTACCGTTATATATTTTTTGTCTACTCGGTTATTCCATGGGGAATTCGTGCTTTATTTAAATTTAAAAAATTAAATTACTACACCATTTTAATTAATTAGTGTGTAGTCCAGTTTTGTTATGCAGAAGTTTCGTTAGTATACACTTTAGTTTTTACACATTGAATATATCTGCATATTTATATATTTACGCGTATCTATTAACATTTATTTATGTACAAGTCTACAAAATCTTATTACTTATAAAGCGTTTTTTAAGCTTCGTTGCTTAACACAAATTTTTTCAATTACTTCTTGTGTTGTAATCGGCACATCATTATGTACCGCTAACATCGTTAAACCATTCAGCCGCTCCTTAATTGTATAAAAAGAAGGGACAAATAATATGGCATATTCAACAATTGAGTAGTCCACTCGCAAAGTGCGCTATGTATTTTGTTTTAGATTTTTAGTTTTTGGTGGGTTTCATGTCCGCTAACAGCAGAGTGAAAATGTTTCTATATTCTGAAAAAAAATAGCATGAAATGTTAACTACTCTTGCTATGTCTCCTCTTCGTATGAACTTAGAAAACTGCAAGAAAACGTGGTAGTTTCGGTGCCTAGTGGAAGAGGTCGCAAAAAAGAAGCAAACCAATCTTCCTAGAGGAGAGAACGCGAAAAGCTAAAAAAAGCTAGCTATGTAAAAGTTACTGTTTCAAAACTTGAAATATTAAATTTTTATACCCGAGCGCACTTGTGCACAAGGGTATATTAATTTTGTTCACATAACGGTTTGTAACAGCCAAAACAAATCGAGATAGATATAGACAAATGTATACATAAATGCTCAGAATGAATAGAGAAATCGACTAAGCCATGTCTGTGTGTCCGTCTGTCCGTCCGTCCGTGGTATTGAAAATGGGCAAAATCGGACTGTAGCCACGCCCACTTCCCATATAACGGTAATTTCCAGAAATACGAAAACTTCGATATTTTAGTAACTACTGAAGATAATTCACTCAAAATTGATATTTACAATCATTTTCAGACGAAAAATAAGAATATTATAAATTTTTGGAAAATGGGCGTAGCCACGCCCACGTATGTTACATGTGTATATCTTGGTAACCGGTACACCAATTTCTTCCAAACTTGGCACAGTTGTTGGCCTTGATACAGCAAACTAAATAGCCGAAAATCTTAAAAATCGGGCAATAACTGCGCCCACATCCCATATAACGGTAATTATCGGAAATACGAAAACTGCGATATTTTAGTAACTACTGAAGATTATTCACTCAAAATTGATATTTACAACAATTTTTAGACTAAAAATAAGAATATTATAAATTTTTGGAAAATGGGCGTAGCCACGCCCACTTATGGTTACATGTGTATATCTTGGTAACCGCTGCACCAATTTTTTCCAAACTTGGCACATTTGTTGGGCTTGGTACAGCATACTAAATGGCCCAAAAATTTAAAAAATCGGACAATAACCACGCCCACATCCCATATAACGGTAGTTTAGAGAAATACAAAGTCTTCGATAAATCAGTAAATATTAAAGCTAATTTATTCAAAATTGATGCTTGCAACAATTCTTTACCAAGAAATACGTTTATGGTAAAATTTTAGAAAATAGGCGTGGCACCGCCCACTTATGATCACATATTGTATGTATATCGGTAACCGTTCTACCAATTTGTACCAAGCTCGGTATTTTTATTGTGCTTGCCACATAAAAGTAAAACGTTGAAAATTATTGAAATCGGACTAAAATTACGGCCGCTTTTCATATAAGGGTAAATTTCAGAAATTTTTGAAACTTCAATATTTCGAAATTTAAGGACGCTAATTTACGCTTACCATCTAGCGGTAGCTTTCGGAAAGGTGAAAAAACATATATTTAATACTAAAAACATAATATTTAATGTTCGGCTCCACCCGAACTTAGACTTTCTTACTTGTTAAATATAAAATTTGCAAATGGACCATACTGCAATTTTATTTTTTTAATGGTATTAGGCTCTTATTTATCCAAATTTTCAGGTAATAAAAAAAGATACTGTTCGGATGTTACTTGTTGTCGTAGACGTTTTTTTTAATTTATGGTTTACTTTTATAAAATCACATAACGCTGTTTGCAAGTGGACTACTCATATATTCATTAAAAGATAATTTGTCATCCGTCTGAAATAAACAAAATTTTAAATCAGAAGGATAAAATAGTATTGTGTTATTTATTCAAAAGTAAATAATTGTAGTTCAATGACGAAGGGGGGAGGGATCTATCCCCCCCATACCCCCTCCCCTCCTGGATACAAGTTTTCAAATACTTTTATGAATTTGTGGAAACTTGAATTAAGTAATAGTTTATTATTGCCAAAATAAATTGGGGTTTGCATAAATAAAAATTTAGTACATACATAAAGAGTTATTGATGTAAATAATACATACATACATATTAGGGATGTTTCGAATGTCATATTTTTCACATTCGCGAATGCGAAACACACCTCTACAACGTTAAATCCTTCCCCACACCAGTTAACTATCACATAGTATAAACAACCCAACAAATAGATTCGGAGGTACAACGCTTTTAATTCACCGATCTTTAAAATTCTCGAAACTCAATATTAACTCCAACAAATTCGACGTCTCAGCAGTAGAAATAGAATCTAAATAAGATAACAATCTTTTCAGTATACATCTAACCAAAGAAACCATTTTCCTTAAACGACCATAACATCTTACACAGTTCCCAATATGCTAATACACTCATCACAGGTGATTTCAACAGCTGGAACCAGAAATGGGAATCCTCGCAAAATAGCCGAAGAGGAAACATTTTTTTATAATTCTTACACCAATCCAACCTAATCTTACTCAACGACAACTGCCCCACACATTTCACAACTCACAATACTTTCTCACACATAGACCTTACCATTTGCTCACCCGATTTAGCACCCAATAGCTCCTGGAAAACACTAGACGATTTATACGGAAGTGACCGCTTCCCCATCCATATATCCTTTTTCTCACAAGCACTAAAAAATCCAAAAAAAAAACCCAAATTCAGAACTAAACTTGCTGACTGGAACGCCTATTAATTATTCAAAATTACCAACGAAATCGCAACTAGCACCAACACTAATAAAGAAGCAGCAAATTTGAATAAAATTCTGTTGCAAAGTGCTCACAAAGCCATCCCTCAAACGGCACCCAACCCACAGAAACGCAATGTTCCCTGGTGGAGTGAACTCCTATCAGAACTAAAAACTAAAAAAAGCGTTTGGCGAAATCTCAAAAATAACATTATCCAGACAAATGTAATCAACCTTAAAAAGCAAATGCTTTATTTTGTCCAGAACTAAGAAAAAGCAAAAGGCAAGCCACAACTACATTTACATCAGAAACCCAACTGCCTACTCCCATATCCACGATCTGGCCAAAAATCCGTACATTCTGTGGCGTAATAAATTCCACATCAATACACAGGATACAAAATACACTTACAGGACGATACACTACATCAAAACTTGATATAGCCAATACTTTCGCACAACACTGGTCACAAATCTCACACGACTCATCTTTTAATCAAGAATTTACAGATAACAAATATAAAACAAGACAAATAAACTGCAATATCACAACAACAGCCGAACAAATAGAAACCGACATTACATGCATTGAACTACTGTCGGCCCTACAGGCTAGAGATGGGCACGGGACTAAATATTTAATCTCGATCCCGCCCATCCCGAAATTGGATTTTTAAGTCCCGAACCCGCCCATCCCGACGTTTTTCAGAATTTTACCGCGGGTCCCGTGGGTCCCGATATCTACCTCTAAAACAGGCTACAAACGGACAACAAATTTAAACGATAGGTTGAGATTTTAACGTGTGTGGCGTGGTTTGCAAACCGATCGAAGTTTAACAAAAGTGTTCATGTCTTTCAATTTAATTTTAAATAATAAAAATAATAATGAAAGATCTGGCATCTTCCGATTATTTTGTTTTGCTTTGCTGTTCGTTTTCCTCTCAATAAAACATTAAAAGTGCATTTTTCAAACATCGTTTTTTGTGAGTTTTCGAGGGTTGCGGTTTTATCGGGAGTGTCGGGAAAGGATTTTGGTCCCGTCCCGCCCGCGATATTTTTACAGATCTTCCCGATACCGCCCATCACAGCCAATTTTAAAT